GAGGCGACGCCATTTTCCTCAGGGCGCCGTGCCGGGCCTTTCGACCCGCGGTACCCCGGGCGTTTTCCAGGGGGAGATCGGGCTCCGACGGGGCGACCAAGCCGAAGGAAACCGGACCCGGGTGCAAGCGGCTCCCTGCGAGGCGCAAGTAAGCGCGCTGGGGCCAGCTCCGCCCGGCCGCCCTCGACCAGGCTCACCCGGCTGCTGAGTCTGCCCCGCGCCCGCAGCCGCCATTTTGAGCGGCGGAGCCAGCCGCGGCCTCCGAACGGGCAGCCGGGTCCGGCTCTGGGCACTGCCAGCCGGCCTGCACGGAGGCAGCGGGGGACGAAGGACAAGTGGGCTAGTGGGGCGGCTGAGCGACGGCCGGGGCCGCGGCCACCCTCGGCTTTGCACGGTGGCCCTGTCGTGACCTGTGACCAGCCCCGGCCCGCCGGCTCCTGCCCGGCTCCCCTCGTTCCCCGCCACCGAGGGATCCCTCGCGGGGAGGCCGCATCCCTTCAGGGCTCCAGCAGCCTGGGTCTCTGCCCCTGCAACCGTGGTACTGCTGAACCTGCTCCCGGGCACAAGCCCACGCTTCCCCCAGATGTGAGCAGCTACTGCTCTTTACCCTGCTGTAATGTGTTTTTCAGTTGATGTAAATAATGTCTGATTGAATTTATTGCTGATTAGCGTTCAGCATCGGTTTACACAACAAGAAATTATGTTTCATTCAGTTCATTAGCATGACTAGTGTTTGGTTTATGAGCATATCACTAATGGTAATGACCAGAGCTGATTGATTTCTAATGTGAATATAATTACACAATGTAGGGGAATTAAAGGAAAAAAATCCACATTTTTAATTGTTGGGTTTTTAGGGAGTGCCTGTGGGGGCGAGGGGGTGGAAAGGGAGAAACAAACCAACTCGCTTCTGCACAAATGATGCAGATGTAAAGATTAATAACTCCAGCAGGACACAGCGAGTTTGGCTCAAAAGAAGAGAAAGTCAAATGCGGTTAACTCTGGGAATAGTTAATGCACTCTCCACACTGCAAAACATAATTTCCCCTCTTCTACCCCCCAGATACAGCTCGAAGCCCAATAAGTTCGCTTGAAAGAGGCCGTTCCTGAGGAGCCAGCAGAGGCAGGGCTTCGTGCATGGCCGGGCAAGCAGGCTCTCTCCAGCCCCGCCGGCGGCTGCGCGGTGGCAGGCTCGGCTCGGAGGCAGAGCCGCTGCCGAGTGGAGTGGAGAGCTGCGCCTTCCTTCGGGGTCAGAGGGAGCACCTCACTCAGCTACAGGATCTTGGACGGCAGCGGCAGTGCCGCCACTGGCAGGAAGCGCCTTGCCTGCCCCGCTGCCCTGATCTGTTCTGGGAGGGGGAGACAGAGACCGTTAAACACTGGAGAGCCCTGGCTGGAGCAGGGTGAAGGACTGCAACAGGTGAGGGGAGCTGAGCGGGACCGCATGGGCCAGCCACCAGGTGGGATTTTAGAGCCAGGGTGGGAGGGGACAGTACTGTGAGGACTGGGGGAGAGCAAGTCGGAAGCAGCTTGTGTACCTCAGCTGTGCCTCATCTGAGCTCTGTGTCCCTGAGGCTGACTTCTGGGACTGTTTGTTCCACTTAAATGGAAAGGTGGTCTGGGAGGGGAGCGATCAGAGCATTTTGCTGGAGGCACCTCCAGTGGCATGTGCAGGGGGAGAGGGGGAAGGCTGTGGGAACCCCTGTAGTCCAGAAATCCTGGAGGTGGGAGGGCTTGCAGAACTGTTTTTCTTGCCTCCCCTCTGGCAGGGTGCGTGGTGGAAGCATGGAGCATACTCTGCCAGCTAAGAGTTGCCAAAAGGCCTCTCTTGTTGCTTGCCCAGAAAGAAAAGAGGCCTCGTGTTTTTGTGGAGAGTGAAACAAGCTGTGTGGCTTGCTGTGGGAGAATAGGGCTTGGGAAAGGCTAGCAGTAATCACTCCCTGTGTCTTGGTGCCGGCATTGCTCCTCTCTGTGCACACAACGCTCTTGCTGGAAACCCAGCGTGGACTTGTGGCTGCGTTGCCTGCATGGGGGATATCTGAATTAGGTGAATTTCCTGCACCTTCCACTAGCACCTCCAGGCTTCCTAGGATACGGGGCAACGGGGTGCCTCTGCTTCAGTGGTCCTGGGTCAGTGGCAGTGTTGATCCCAGTGTAAACAGCTGTGCACA